CCGCAACTCCCTGGGGCGCAGCAGTGAGCTGGAACAACTAGCCAGCGCAATTCGATCAAGCTGTAGCTGACAGGCAGGGAAGCCGGGCCTCCTGTGTAAGATTACATTTTATAAGGAACAGAAAATATGGGGAAGGGAAGCAACAAAAAAGGCTCCTCGACCCCCAATCCTGAGAATCAGGCAATAGTGGACACTGTACCAATATACATTAAGCGCCATTTAGAGAGCCTCATAGACCAATTCAGGAATGAAGTTATCAATGACCTGAAGCTAGAAGTATGCAGAATAGTTAGAGAAATGCTAAGCACCACCCAGGAAAAAGCAGATGGTGGAGTGGAAGAACAGAAAAAGAGGGGAGAATTGCTTGATGGAGAAAACAGAGAAAGCATGGAGTATGTGAAGCAGGTGCAAAGGGACTATCAAGAAATCAAGAAGTCTACCCAAGACTGGCATAACAGCTTGAAAGAAACTAAGGACAGACTATCTGAATTGGAGGGCAGACTTGAAACATGGGAGAATGAAATGAAAAACTTCTTAAAAATAACAAAAAAACACACAGCAATAATACAAAGACAAGAAGATGATAAGAGGAGCCATAACTTAAGGATTAAGAACATAAAAGAAGAAGTAGGGACACAAACAAGTGAACTACAAAAGCTACTCACAGAAATAATCCAGGAGAATTTTCCTAATTTAGCAAAAGGTAAAGATACTCAAATGTATGAGGCATACAGGACCCCAGCTACCTACAACCCTAACAGAGAAACACCCAGACATATAATAATAAAAATTCCAGAAATTCAATACAAGAACAGAATATTAAAAGCTGTAAGAGACAAGAAACAGATCACTTACAAGGGAAGACCCATCAAAATTACAGCAGATTTCTCTTCACAAACCATCAAATCACGAAGAGCATGGGGAGAAATAATTCAAGCTTTGAAAGATAATAATCTCCAGCCAAGATTGAGATATCCTGCACAACTGTCCCTGGAAATTGATGGAAAAACGAGGTGCTTCCAAGATAAAGAGGAACTGGGGGAATTTGCAACCACCAATTCAACCCTACAGAAAGTATTGCAGGATATTCTAAAAAAAGAAAAATACAAAGAACCCAGAAATAGGGGCGGGGAGGCCACAACGAATAGAGCAGAGAACAAAACGAAGAAGACAAACTGACAGCTACTGACAGAAAAAGAGCTCAACAGAAATGAGACAGAGAAGATTGGATGATAGGAACAGCTTTTTTTGGAGAAAATGACATCTTAATAGGTAATGCTGATTTAGTACCATCTTGTTTTGAAGTCTCATCTAGCTTTTGTTCTTCTGTCTCCAATGGTCTAAACAGGTTGTAGCTTATTGGATTTTGTTATGTACGATAGTATAAGAAAAAACCTTTTAAAGACAAGGAGATTATACAGAGACCATTGTTCATTTTCTGTTAGTCGATTCTAAATACTCTATAATGCTGTCATTCTCTTAAATGGATTTACATTGTTTTGATATACTTAATGCTACAGTATATGAAGTTGTACTCAAGGACTTCAGGGAGGGAGTCAATATGGTAACCATTTTTGGGTCAGGATTAGCTGGTGGTGAAACACTATTCTGCTTAAATGGTTATGTTTTGATCTGCCCTGTTTCGCTGTTATGCCCTCTTTTTTTCTCAATCTCCACTCCATTATTTACTTTTTTATTTTTATCCATTTAATTACAGGGAAAAATATAGCAGGATATAATATAGTAACCCACTTTGACTTTCTATTATCTCGATTTGAAGCCCTGTATTACTCTCACCATCTTGTTTTTGACTGAGGTTCCTATATTCTGTTTTGCTGGATAGTATCAGGTTCGAAAGTTTAGGCATCAGCTGAGAAGATAATGAGATTCATTATAACGCCCATTCTCGTTGACTTTTATCTACTTTTGAAGACCTACAATATCTCCAATGTTTTGGTTTTGTCGGTTTTATTCTTTACGGTTTTGTTCAATTGTATTACAACTAATGATATAGGCAATTCTATTAGAAATAGCGGGAGGCATTATGGTAACCATTGTTGATCACCTTGTATTATGTTTTTTATATTATCTATTATGTCCACCCTTTTGACTTGACCGATTCTGTTCTGTTATGTCACATTTGGTTTTACTCTCTTCCAAAAAAGCAACAAGAACTGTGGGAGCAATGAAACCCAAAATGTGTAATAGTCACTGTACAAAAGAGAGGAAAAGAAAGTGCTCTAAACTATATAACTGCATGTATATTTAAAAGTATAAGATAGAAAATGATATCACAGAGTTTTATTGGATCATTGAACAGAACTGTTTGCAGTATCATTGTTGGAATGTCCACTCTACAAGCTTTAATTTTGTGACTTGAACAATTATTTCTAAGATGGCAATATGTAATCCATTAACTAGTGATTTCCTACTGTGCATTTTTTTATTCTGTAAACCTGTATAACTTGTACCCCTTCACTGTTTTTTTTTCTTTCTTTTCTTTTCTCCTTAAATAAAAATTAAAAAAAAAAAAAAGAAAGACAGTAAAAAGTCAATTGGAAGCTCTAAGTACATAGAGCTCATACTCTATGTATTGATGGTGATCTTTCATTTATATCTGGTGATCCAACAGGCCCTGGCCACTTCATCAGGTGACTCTGAAAGATCACTTTACAGATGAGTGTTTTCTCCTGATTCACTCTATTTACCAAAGAAGAAAGCCTCTATTCCTATCTGAGGTATATGTGAGAGGCTGCAGGCATTCTCAGACCCAAGGGGGAAAAGTCTACAGGAAAGTTCCAACATTTAGTTTGCAATCATTCATTATTCTCAGTATGGAGTGTCCAGTCCACAGCTATATCTATACAACCAAGCCCCTATAACACAGTTAATGCATTTCTTCTCTTGAACCACTCTCCCTCTCCAGTTCAAGTTTTAAAAAAAATGGAGCAGATTCTTTTCTATGTACAACTTGAACAGACTCCCTGTTCTCATTCTTGCAATTAGTTGCTAACTCTTGTTATCTGTGTTATAGAAGAATGAACTAATCACTAATAGCATCATAAGAGAATTTAAAATTTTAATTTATAGAACTGTAGATTGCTCAATGGTGCATCCAGATGTCCATTAGCATCAAGAAACCTAAAAAGCTGACTTATCATGAACCTATGAAAATACCAGTTTCTACTCAAACTCCCCCTTCGCAATCTTCTCCCTTGTAGTATTTCATCATCATGCTTGCTGAAGGAAGGTGGATCTAAAACTTTGCCCTTCATTTTCTAGGTTGAAACCTCCTTTGCTCCAAGCACTGATGTTCAGTGCTTGATGTTTGTTGTATATCAGGCACATGAATATGATTTGGGGGTTCAGTAACATGTGGAGTCCCTAATTCTAGTTCAATCTCTTTTAAAGGTACACTGTCCAGTATAGTAAACACTGGCTACATGTGGCTATTTTAAATTAAATCTGAATAAAACTAAAAATTCAAATTATCTATCATTATATATAATTTCAAGTACTCAGCAGCCACTGTGGCTACCACATTCAGCAATGTAGAAATTCAACATTTCCATCACCCCAGAAAGTACTAATGGCAATACTTCTCCTTAAAGTAAACTCCAAGGTTCTTCCAAAGCAAGAACTGCGTTATATGGCTACTGAGCTAAAAGCAAAATTTAAGGATCTACCTACAACTTAGAGTAAATTCTAGGCTTCTGCTGAGGCCAGTGAGGGGTAGTTATGTGGCAATGGGGCTAAGGGCAAGAATTTGAGACTGCATAGTGTCCAGTATGGTAGACACCAGCCACATGTAGCTATTTAAATGTAAATTAAAATAAGTCAAAATAAAATAAGTTTAAAAAATGTCTCCCTAGTTGTAATAGTCATATTCCAATCATTTAATAGCCACATGTTGGGGGGGGGTGCTGAAGATACAGCTCAAAGTAGAGTACAAGGTACTAAGTTTGATTCCCAGGACACCACCTATCTCAAAATAGGCCACATGTGGCAAATAGTGACATTCAGCGAGCACAGATTACAAAACATTTCTAGCATTCAGAAAGCTCTGCTGGACAGCACTGTCTTGCACAATCAGTCCTTCATTCCTATGTTCAGAGTTACATATTACCTCCAATACCTGAGCCATTCCTAGGTTTGACACAGTAAATCTACTCACTTCTTGTTGCCTTCTCTCATTGCAGACCCAAGTTGAAGCCTTCCCCATTCTGCTATAATATCTACTCGCAGGACCCCAGTCAACCTTTATTAGACTCACAAAAGGTAGCCCCTCGGGAATGAGTGGAATATACCTGTAGTGGAAGGAAAAGGCAACTTCTGGATGTATGCAATCCCTGAGCCTGGGCACACAGCTTTGAAGTAGTGTGACCTGCTGCTTCACTGGCAAGTACTTCTTAGCCAGATACTCTTGTGCCATGAAAATAGAGGCGACAGTCAGTACTATTCCATCTATTTCACATTTTCTAAAATTCTGTTGACATCTCTTTTCCCACTGACTCTATTGCTTGCCATTCTGGGCTTGTATCTCAGTTTAGTCCTTAATTATCCTTTTTGTTGCTCCCATAAATTTAATTCCATTAAACTGGAATTTTTAGGTCAGGTTTACTATTTTCCATTTGTGTCTTGTTCTTTTTGTTATAATTCCATCTCTCAGTGGCAAGAATGTGTTGCAATCAATCCCACAAGTCCCAAGTAGATTCATATCTGAATAATAGAGTCTATTTTTTAAGAAAACATTGACAATAAGAATTAACAGTTCACAAGCAGAAAGCCAATATCTGGGTTGTCCAAACACCATTCTATAACCTACACTAAAATTCATACTCAAGTCAAAAAGTCACTGCTTAGAAAACTTCCTTAGATAACAGTACCTAAATAATCAAACTTACCCATCTTGGTGTTTTTTTATTTAACAAACATAAAACATAACAAACATAAAATTATGAATGAAAATGAGAAGAAACAAGTATTTTTTTGTTACATACCTGCGCTGGTGGTACTTGCAATGGATTGTTATCCAAAATTATTACTTGTAGATGATGCAGTTTCCTATAACAAACTGGAATTTCTGTCACTTTATTACAAGAGAAATCCAGTTTGACCAAAGGAAGATCTCCTAACTCTGTTCAGAAATGAAAAATGAATAATTTAAAGGATATATAGTTACTCTTTTATTCATATGAGTAGAAATACTGAGCATCTTACCATCTGGCAAAATATGAAGGTTATTTCTTCTTATGTTAAGTTCTCTGAGTGAATGTAATTTTCCCATTTGTTGGGGAAGGACCTGAATCTCATTGCAACTAATATCCTAAAGAAAATAAGAGAGTAAAACTTTAACAAACTGAGAAATATATTCTAATTTTTAAATTAGAATATATAGCTAATAGCTAGCAAAAGTTACCTCTAATGTTATTTCTAGAAAATTTATATTTGTAATGTTATGAAGTCAATATAGCACAATCAGCACAATTTTCTCTATGTAAAACTTTGAAATTATAATTTAGAAACTACATAAATTAATCTTTCAAAAACATCTTGGAACAACTACTCCTCACCCATTAAAACCAAAAATAAAGATGATACAGGTACTCTTTATACAGAGGTAAAATAAAAGACTGGTAAGTATCAATCACTATGATAAGTTATGAATTACTATAGTTGATTCAAGATATTTGGGTTGGTAAACGTTGAGAAAGTCACGGATTTACAGATATGAACTGGAATACTAAAGATTATGGTCAGGATCAATTTAACTAAATTGCTTTCCTCAAAGGAATATAAAACATGAAGAGTTAGGAACTCAAACATTTGTTCAGTGTTAGGAACTCAAACAACTCAAAGAGACTCTTAGAGGTCAAAATCAAGTGTCTCAGGATGCAATAAAAATGTAAGCTCTAATTTAAATGTGAACAATATCAAGTTACCATAGTAAGAAGATAAAGAACAGTGTAAGATAACTGGGTTGTCCTCTCCTTGTCACTTTCATAACCACCTCCACAAATAAGGGAAGAGAAATCTGCAGCCGATCTTAAGACAGCACTTATTCCAGGCACACTGTAACTGAGTCCAATTCTAGCTTTCCCCAAAAATGATATTAGTTTAGAGGGAGGGAATGGTGCATACATTCAGTTTCATAAAATGTAGAATAACAGGAATATCAATTCCAAAGAATATTAAAACAATGTAGAGAAGAACTCAATAAATATATTTCTGACAATGTATCTTATATACTTTTTTCAAAATATACTCGAAGCTTCTTTGAACAACAAATATTTATGAAATATTGTATGTGAGCCACTGTTCTAGAGGCTAGATACACATCAAAGAACGGAACAAACATATATTGCTGCACTCATACCCCCACATGGAGTTTGCATCCTAGCATGGGGAGCGGAGTAAATAATTTGGTAGAAGGTAGTAAGTACTATATAAAAAGTAAAGGAAAATGGTTTTGGTATAATAGTGGAAAGGAACATTAGCAATTTAAAACATCTCAAACAGAAAGCATTATTACTTGATAATACTGTTAGAGCTGAGAGAGGAGGCCATGCCAATACATAAGAAAGAAATATTCTACACCGAAGGAAAAATAAATGTAAAGATCCTTAGGTAGAGCACATCTGACATGTACAAAGACCAGCAAGGATTCCAAGGTAATCAGAAGAAAGTGAGCAAGGGAGAGAAAAGGACAGGAAATGGATATAATCTTTACTTTTACTGAAGATATGGGCAGAAACAAGAAACTTTTAAACAGAAAAATGATAAGATTTGACTTATGTTTTGATGGGATAATCTTAGCTGCAGTGAACAGAATAGACTATTATTCAAATGATGGCCATTAAAAGTTCGGGAAATGCCCTTTAAAAATAAATATTATTGCTTCTTTTCAAAGCTGCCTGATAACTGAGCTTTCCATAGAAAATCTTGAGAAATTTGACAGCTAGTTGCCGTTTCCCAGAAGAAATAAACCCAAGCACAGGAAACTGACCTACTCCGAAGAGTACTCTATGAAATACTCTGCTAGAGATTAGAGGCCAGATAATGTTTCCTAGTAACAGAATTTTACATTTGGTTGTCACATTCTTATGGAAAAGTATCGTGGGAAAAAATTTCAGTAACATAAAACACTCATGAATTCCTTATACAATTTACCAATGTTAATTAGCCATCCTAATGCTACCTACCCATCTACTCTTACTGATTTCAAGAGTTTAAAGCATAATAATTTTGTAGTGCTACATAAATTAACAGTATTTATTATTTGATACTATTAATTATTTGATATTTTAAAAGTTCTACTACACTTAATAAAAAAATCTAAAGGCCTTAAATAGTTTTGATATTTCATATACCTACAATTATCTCATGTAATATAATTTAACACATACACCCAAAATCTGGGTGTGGTGGCACATACCTATAGTCCCAGCACTCTGGGAGGCTGAGGCAGAAAGAGTATAAATTCAAGCCCAGGCTGGCCAATTTACGGAGACTTTGTCTCAAAAGACAAAAAAAGTAAATAAAACGAAAAGTGTTAGGGCTATAGCTCAGTGCAGAAGCCCTGTTTTCAGTCTCCAGTAGCTCCACCATCAAAACAGGGCTAAAAACTCAACGAAGGAGAAGGCGGAAGAAGCTAAAGAGAGAAAAGAAGGAGGGAATCAAGAGAGGGAAGAGGGAACAGATAAAGGAATTACAGAGCAATAAAATCTTAAAGTGTAACATTTATAAAACTTTTAAAAACATTAATGGTATACAAGAAAAAGAAAGTAAACAACTCCTTTGACTGCCAGTTTGTTAAATTACATCTGGAATCTCAATTCATATTTGAGTATAACGTTATAAGAGACTTTTAACAAAAGAAAACACTTTCAGATTTGAAACACCTAAAAATGTCAGAGACAGAAAGACAACAACTATGTTTATGCTATAAAAAACAGATTATTGATAAAATGGATAATAGACACACACAAATTACAAGCAACCAAAGGAAGAAAGGTCATTATCATCTGTATTTTATTCAAATGGTAGTCCCAGGATCAATACATAAAAGTGATAGGGGAATGCAGTTTGTGTCAAAGTAAGATTAACATCAAATAGTTTTGCAAAGAAAAACGGGGGTAGCTTAAACACACAAAGAGCTATCTACCATTGAAAATACATAATAATGCCAGGGATTCATGTATTAGAAAGTGGTTATATATAATCACTTCTAAAATCTTTCACCTCAAAATTTTATCGTTCTAAAAGGTGAAATTCAAGAAAATTTCTTTGTATCATAATCTGATATGAAAGCATTCCTTACTGAATAAAAAGTATTCCTGATTACTATTTGTTCCTCCTATCTATCAAAATAAGTTCCTCTATTAGTCAGCTTTCCCATTGCTCAACACTGTACTCAACACTCACAATTTAAAGGAAGAAAGGTTTGCTTTAGCTCATGGTTTGGGAGGATCCAGTCTATAATCACCCAGCTACAAGGCAAGAACATTATATTTGAAGGGCTGTTTTATGACTAAGGTGTCACTATATAATGGCACAGGGTAAATATTCTCATTCCAAAAGAGAGAAAAAATCCAACCAAACAAAACCAAAAACCAGCAGAGCAAACATTAAGTCCTATACCTCCGTGTGCATCATACTGAGCACATGGTAGAAAAATGTCAATTCCAAGGAGCCTGAGTGACCCGACCTCTATGGCTTTGCCAGTTGCAGCTTGCAAGGCCTCTGTTGGACTGGCTGCACTCATGACTTGTAGCTTTCTTTGACTGATGTTCCATATTTCTGGCATCTCCAGTTTCCTGGGGTCTCCACTGCACCTTTGCCTTTATTCCCACAACTTCATATATTGTTTTCTCAGGAGCTCCTTCCCTGGCCTGCCATGAATTCCTCTGATATCTGGATGGAAGCCTCCTGATAACACATCTTTTGCATCCTACATGCCAGTAAAACTGGTATCAAATGAATGATGACACCAAGGTCTGCTGTTGATGGAAGCAGTTGCCAGGCTCCCTTGGGCCATGGCTATAGTGTCTGGATTGCTGAGCATGGTGAAATGATCCCAGGAAACAAATTTCCTAGGAGGAATGATCTCATTTAGCTCACAGTTTAGGGGATTTTAGTCCATAATCACCTGACACCAAAGCAGAAACATTAGGATGGGAAGGACACAGGCGAGTAAAGCTGCTTAGTTCATGGTGGCCAGGAAGCAGAGCAAGGAAACAATGTCAGAGAGAGATGGGAAAGGGAAAATACATAGTACTCAAGGCTACACCTCCATGACCCAGCCAGGTACATGTGACTAATCTGCTAGGTATTTCTTAACCCAATGAAGGTGACACAACAGGATTAATGGTTTCAGTTTCTGTTACAAAATTTCAGATAAATCCCTCAAGAAAACTGTCAGCCCACCAGACATAATTAAATCATATTTCTAAATACTTAAAAAATCTGTTCATTAGAAAAGCATTATTCAACAGAAAACAGAAAATAAAAATAAACACACAATGATATACTGTGTTAAGTGAGGGAAACCAAAAGATAGGAAAATAGTTCAGTGCTTTGGCTTAGTTCAACATCCTGTAGAACTAAAACATTACATTCAAAGTAACTACTTTAAGTCATTTTGTTTCTATAATTGGTTACATATAGCAGCCTTATTTCATTTAGCTGTGTTCCAAAGTGTTATAAAAGCATAAGGAAGAGACATTATTTTGTTAATTGAATTACTCAGATGCAATTATTCTCATCTCCATTCTATAGCTCTAGAGTACCCAGGAAAAAAAAAATTTAAAAACAAACAAACAAACAACTTTTCCAGGCAAGCATGGAGGCACATGCCTGTAATCTTAGCACTTGGGAGGCTAAGGCAAGAGGATCACCATGTGTTCAAGGCCAGTCTGGGCTCCATAGTGGGTTAAAGGTCAGTCTGAACTGCCGAGTGAGATCCTGTCTCAAAGTAGTTCTGTATTACGTGTACCCTTACACCGCTTTGTTTTGTTTTGTGTTTTTCTCTTTTTCCTCTTAAATAAAATAAAATTAAAAAAAAACAAGCAAACAAACTGAAAAAAAACTTCCCTAAGAATTTTGGTGTCCAAAAATGAATAAAAGTACTTATTTTTCATTTGAAAATCATATTTAAAGCTCATAAACAAGTCTTCTATCTTCTGTAGCACTAAGGAACAAATAGGCTTTTTGTGGTTTGGAGCCAAAATCAGATACAGTGATAGCGCAAAATTCAATAAAGTGAATTTAAATATTTATCAAAGTATTTATTTTTTAAAAATACACTGAAATTCTATAAAGGAATGGACAGTCTACCAAAATGTTAACAGTACATATTATGTATATTATCTGTAGATATGTATAAAAATACAACTATTTTACTCACCAATTCCATCAAATCTTTTAACTTCCCAATTTCTTCTGGAATGGATACCAGTTTATTATTACTGACGACCAAAACTTTAAGAGGAAGATCAAATAGGTATTTTGGCAATGTTGATAAAAGATTTCGACTGAAAAGAGTAAGAAAGTCAGTTATGAAAAATATGTGTGAAACTTGACACACTATTTTGAAAAAGAACAAATGGCTTCAAAGATAAACAAAAGCTTTCACTAAGTAATAGTAACTATTTATTTTTTTCTTTTCTTTTTTTTGGTACCAGGAATCAAACTCATGACCACGTTCTTGCAAGGCACGTGCTTATGCTGCTGAGCTAAATCTCCTGCCCTGTTACTATTTATTGAGTGCTTACTTTGTACCAGGCATAAGTATATTCCTTACATTTGGTATCTTATCTAATATTCAGATTTAGCTTCACAAGATAGATGGTATTATCTCCATTATACAAGTAAGAAAATGATGGTCATAACCGGTTGTATGACTTGCCCAGACATAGCAGATATTCAAATGGCAAATCTGACTATAAATTTTGTGCTCTCATCTGAGATATTGTCCCACACCACTGATACTCAAAAACTCAGAATGATTCTAAACTAGATTATGGCAGAAATTTGCACTCAAGTATAATTTCAGTATATTCAATACCTACATGCTTGTAACCAGGAAAAGACTCCAGGAATAAAGTTCCACGTACTATATCTAAGTTTATGAGAACAATAAATAGTATTATATATTTAAAAACATGCAGTAATTCTTATCTATCGCATTTTGTTATAGTTTACAATACTATTTTTATCTCAGCTCAACATTTAACATTTTTCTCTCTGTGGAGAATTTTACAGTATATTAACAACTAACACTGAGTATTCACTTTGTTCCAGGCAATGTTCAAGGCACTTCACATAAATTAACCTTCATAATATCCTACTTTAGGAAAGCAGATACTATTTTGATCTTATTTTACAGATGAAAAAAATATCAAAAAGTAAACTGCTCAAAATCACAGCTGGCAAGAGAACTGGCCAGGATTTGAACTTAGGCTATACGCTTCTGGAATCTTTGTCCTGTAACCATTAATGTGATGCAGACTGATGCAAATGATCTCATTATCAAAATATACACAGTCCATTTACATGCTACAAAGTGGCAAACAATAAGCTACTATCCTTCTTATTTCTCAAAGTAACGTTTATAGATCTGTGACTACCATTTTGTATAATGTAAACAGCAACAAAAGCCTAATGTTATTTAAGGGAAGGTTTAAGACCCTTCACGTCATCTTGTCCCTGCCAAGGACATCTACAAATGGCTAGACAGAATGCCTTTAATAATACAGCACAAACTGACTTGAAAAAAAAAGTTAATGTCCCTCAACTACTAATACTGGTCAGGTTACTGGAATGTCAAATACTCTGCAGGAGTGGTGTCACCAATCTTTCATAATTTCAAAATCGAGCAGGCTATTTGAGAACATGGTGTGTCTTGCCCTTTCATATGGAGCACAAAGGATCTTTCTGCAAGATGGTACTGAAAAATGGGAGTAGTATACAGGAAGAGAGTCGAAAAAATCATCTTAAAACTTATCAAGATATTTTTGCAAAAATAAAAATAATAAATGGGAAAATAAGAGTAAATTCATTCTGACTCCCTTATGCTAAAATCAGTTTACTTTATCACATTAAAAGAAGTTTCCCTTGAACCCCACTCCAGTACTGGGGATTGAACCGGAGTCTTCACTCTGAGCTATGTTGCCAGGCCTGCCTATTTATTTATTTATAAATTTTATGCCACTGTCTAAGCCTCTAAATTGACTGGACTCAAATTTGCAATCCTCCTGCCTCAGCCTCCCAGAGTGATAGAATTATAGATGTGCATGAGCACATGCAGCAAGAAGCTTCTCAACTGAGTTATTAGCAGTCACCTTTCTCCAGAATTTGATTTCTTTATACATGGTAAGTCAATAATTATCACTTATTTTTATTACAGTTTTTAGAGTGAACCAAAGGAAGCCAGTCACTTCAACAAATGTTACCTGATTACAGTTTGTTGGAAAATGTGACTGTAAGCAAACATCAGAGCCAACTTTCAGAAATCAAAACAGGATAAAACTGGAGAAAGATTTTAGTAAAACAACTCTAAGATATATAATACTTATTAATATAGAAATGTCACTCATTTTTTGAAAAATCATTTTTTTATGAAAGAACAAAATGAAACAAAACAAAACAAACAACTTGAAAATACTCTATTTTCTTCAACCTCTCCTAACCCAGGCCAAGAAGTACAATCTAAATGATTGATAGCAACAGAAACAAATTTCTCTCACATATTTTAAAGTATAAAGTGTTTTAGGTTGAAATAGTATGTACACGAGGTAACACGACTGAAGACATACAACTGAGGACATGAGTGAGGTGAATCTTCCTCTTCCAAATCAAAAAGAAAAGAGAAAAGAATTCTAAAATTAAATCACAATATATCAGTCATTGATTGGGTAGAGCAATGTTTTTATTATACTTGTTGAGTGTTCACAGTAAGATATTAAGATAAATATAAGCTAGAAAGCAACCAAGACACATTCTTTTGCTACTAAAAAGGATCAGAACCATAATAAAACACAAAATTTATTTTAAGAATTGTTCCTTACCTAATGTTAAGGTATGTTAACATCTGCAGGTTTTTAATGGCTTCAGGAATGGTTTTGATGCAATTATGATATAAATTTAATGTTTCGAGAGGTGCAAATAACCAAACATCAGAAGGAATTTCTGTAAAACGATTTCTGGAAAGATCTGAAAAATGAAAATAGCATTTGAAGGTCAGACAGAAATCTATATCCATGCTCATTAACAGAAATAGCTTCATACATGTTGAATCACTTAAAATCTAAGCAAATATTTAAAATATTTTAAAGTATTATCTACCAATAACTAGGAAAAAAACATTATTTAGGAACATAGTCAAAGAAAGTATGTTTATTAACAAAATGTTCTGATATGCTTCAATCCCTCTAAAATCCTATGTTATTTTTTAAAATATAAAGAATTCTCTTTAATGTTTAAAAGCTAACAAACAAACAAAAACCTTCTATAATCCCAAATTCATCTGCCTCACTTTCCTTCACTGTTACATTTAGGTAAAATTACAACAAAACTAAATATCTAACTTACCATGGACCTGATCCATTGCAATTTGGTTTCCATTCAATCCCACATCCACAAAGGTTACTAACATATCAACAGTCATTCAATTGATCTGGAGACAATACCCTTTTTGGATTTCTTTTTGGATTATCTCGCTAGCTATCTTTTTAGTTTCTTTTGGCAGATATTCCTGTACCTGTATCATAATGCCAGAGTTCTCAAAAGTTGTGACTAAGGTACTCTTTCCTTCTTCAAATACACAACGTACTGGGTTGCTTCATCCAATCCTAGAGCCAAATTATATTTATATACTGAGAAATTACAAATGAAGAATATGTCCTAATATCTATTTTCTAATCTTCAAGACTTCCTCTTTTTTGTTTGTTTGAGACAAGGTCTCACTATATAGCTCAGGCTGAATCAACCTTGCATTCTTCCTGGCACAATGTCACTGCTGGGATTTTAGGTATGCTTAGCTCAGAATTTCCTCTTGATTTCCCTTGGGCACCTCAAATTCTATACGTATAAAATTTTAACTCAAGATCTGTTTCCAAACATCTATGTTTTTCCTCTTAAATGTCACCAACATTCTGTTGGCAAAGTGTTCAGGTCAAAAGCCTGGCATTCATTCTAGATTCCTTCCTCTCCCAAATAATCTCAAGCACACACAAGGTTAGCATTAGAAGTTGTATACAGTAGAACAAAAACAACAGTAAGACTGAAAATAATGGTCAAGAAAAAGCACAGCAATCATGTAAAGAGAGCAACGAAGTTTAAAAAAGGGACAAAAGATGAGGCCAGGGATTTAGTTCAGCAATATAAGCGCTTGTCTGGCAAGTGTGAGGTCATGTGTTCAATCCTCAGTAACAAAAAAGGGGAGGTGCGGACAGAAGAAAAACAAATACTACCAATAAGAAAAATGATTCTAAAAAAAGTAATTTAAATATTATCAACACAGCATTCTACTAACATATTTTGTCTTACGCTTTTTATGTTCTTTCCATTCAAAACATTTAGTTAAATAACAAAATAATAGCACAAGTGACCTTTACATTGATAAACTATTTTCTGGATGAGTTCACATATTTATTTGGTAAACAAAATTTAAATCACAATAATTATTATTCTAATTGAATGGAGTTAAGTCAAATAAAATATAATAAATTCAAATTTAAACTCAAAGTATTATAAGGCTTTGAATTAAGAAATTTAGGAGTAGACTATTTCAGATTTTAAATCAGACTAACATCCTTTTTTATTTAAAGAGAACAAAAGAAAGGAAATAAAATAAAACAAAGCAGTAAAAGGTTACAAATAATACAGAATTTCAAGGAAAAAAAATACAGTAAGATATCACTAGTTAATAGGTTACTTATTGTCATCTTTGAAATAGTTGTCCAAATTATAACATTAAAGCATGTAAAGTGAACATTCATACAATGAGATTGCAGACAGTGCCGATCAATGATCCAACAAAAGCTCAGTAATACGGATTTCCATCCTACACACTCAAACATACATGAAGTTATATCCCTTAGTCCACCTTCCTTTCCTCTCTTTTTAATAACAATTACACTTTTGGGGTTTTTTTACTCCCACAATTCTTATTATTTTTTTGAAGAGAATAAAACCTAATGTGGCTAAACAAAACAGAGTCAGAACAAAAGGATGGGCATAGTACATGATGTAAAAATAGAATATCAGGTGATCTAAAATGGTTACCATTGTGCCTCTTGCTATTTTTTTTTAAAGTTGCCTATATGGTCAGATATAATAGAATTGATCAAAACAGTACAGAACAAGACCAATAAAACCTACACTGGAGACCTTACAGGGTTTCAAAAGAAGATAATAGTCAAACCATAATGGGCATCTTAGTGAATCTTATTGCCTTCAAAGTGGTTGCCTATACCCTCAAACTTGATACTATCAAACAAAATAGAATATAGTAAAATCTGACAGAACAAGATGGGGAGAGCAGTACTGGGGATCGTATCAGGTTAATAGGAAAACAAAATGTTACTATAATATATCCCGCTATTTTTTAATTTAGTTTTCCCTTAATTGAAAAAAATATGTAAGAAAAAAATAGATTAATTTTTAAAAGGGGTGGGATTGAAGTAAAAGAGGACATTGTATTAGAACAACACAGGTCAGAACCGAACAATTTAAGCATCATTGTGTTTCACCCCCCCCCCAGATAATCTAACATAATAGTAGTCACCATAGTGCCTCCTTCCTTGAATTATTTGATTATAACTTCATATACTATAGCATCAAGCATATCAAGTCAAGACTAACATCCTTTTTAAGCACAGGGTAAATAGGACAGTGCCAGAAAAAAATATATAATCATGGAAGGAAAAATGGGAAATAAAACAATTTGTTCTTAATTTTTTGAACTATCTCACACCAACAGTATCTCATATTTATACTGAAAAAAGTGAAGATAAAATTTAAACTCTGATTTTAAATTTTATCTTGTGTTGAATACTTCATAAGAGATTTTATAACATAAATTAACATGTACACTCAATGCAACCAGAATATTATCACATACTATACTTGAAAAGTACATGCAAAATTTGTATTTTAATGAAGTTCTTTCAAAAAGAAAAGCATTCCCACTTTAAGATAAGAAAACAAACTGCTAAATTATTCCTTATTTTGAAACTCATTTTACAATAGTTTCAAAGTTTACTTTCTTATGGAACAAGTAGGATGTGGGGAAAGAATATTACAAAGATTGTTCACTTTATTCACACAACAAAAAGAGATTAAAACTTACTGTTTATTTTCCTGTAGTAAGGCCAGGGATTTAGTTCAGTGGCATAAGTGCCTGCCTGCAAATGCGAAGCTGTGAGTTCAATCCCCGGTACCAAAATAAATAAATAAAAAACATAAAATAAAATAAAAAATATAGAGGTTTTCCTGTAGTAGGCTGAATAGTGACCCTTAAGGATAATCAGGTTCTAATTCTTGGATCCCATGAATATTACTTTTTAAGACAAAATTTTTGCAGATAGAATTAATCCATTTATGCCAAAGGCTGAAATTTTTAAATTTTACATGAAATTCATGTTACCTAGAAAAATTCAAAGACCAAGAATCTGAAGAAAAAGATTTTTATTATGTTCCATTGTCTGTGGCATTCTAAAGAATGCTAAGCATAAATGAATTAAGAATCTCAGGATGAGATTATCCTGGATTGCCCCAGTGGGCCCTAAATGTCATCTCATGTATTCTCATAGGAAAAAGGCAGAGGGAAATTAAACACACTGAGGGGAAAGGTCACACGAAGAGAGTATATAATGCCAGCAGCCACCCCAAGCTGAAAGAGGCAAGGAATCTCCTCCTCTGAAAGGGGGAGTGGCACTGACAAAACCCTGATTATAGCCCTATAAAACTCATTTTAGACTTACGGACTCCAGAACTATGAGAGACTAAATTTCTGTTTTATAAACTACTAAATTTTTGGTACTTAGTTACAGGAAACACAGGAAACTAATAAACTGCAAAACAAATGTTTATCAAAATTAATAAGAATGCCTGGGAAACATTTTTAAAAAATTAAATAGCTGTGTATTTTTTCTTTTACAATAAGATGAAACTTCAGTGTATTAATAACCTTGGGATAAGTAGCCTTATAAGCACTGAACTATTTTTCTTTTGTCACATCTTTAATTATAAATCATATCAAGCAGTACTGGCAATAAATCAACAGGAGACAGATGGCAGTGTTCTATTTCTGCCTTCCTTCAAGACATTACTTGTAAAACTGCAGGGAGCCTGTTAGAGATGCTAATAGATCATCTTAATCTTATCTAAATTATGCGTTTTTTTAAACCACATTTGTGCTTCAAAGATCAAAGAAGCTAGGGAAAGGGAGGAAAAAAGTCAGACAGAACGGAAATCTGTCTGCTGTCTCTCAATGTGCAACTACAAGCACCCCAGATGGGTCCATCTGCTGCCCAGTGTAATTCCTGGCCCAATAGCTACCACTTCTGCCAAAATAGAGAAAATGATTTTCAGAAATGATGTATTATACTATACTAATTATACTAATTATAGTTTCATTCACTGTCCTAAAATGCATGAAGTTTTCAGGGTGTAGAGGTCCTTTGGTACAAATTGTCAAAACTTGCAATAAGATGAACGTTTCTTCTTTATATTGCTAGTCTCTCTCACATTTCAAAAAAATCCTAGGCAGTATTTGAAAGCCTATGGTAAAAGTTCTAACAATGAAGTGTGTTATTGGAACATATCCTCATCATTAATAAAAATCACATGAAAGGATTTTTTGCTTGTAGGTCATTTAAAACCAGTATGGGCAACACAGTGAAATCTTTTTTCAAAAAAATATTTTTAGAAAAAGTGCTAGGAGTCGGGTTTGTTGAGTGGCGCAATGCTTACCTAGCATGCAAAAGGCCTAAGATTAATTTCTAGCAACAAAAATGAAAGATAAAAATGAAGGAAGAGAGAGAGGGAGGGACCAAGGGAGGAAAGGAGGGAGGGTACCGGAAAGGGGAAAGAAAAAGAATTTCAGCTTAAAGGAGCATGGAGCTTAATGGAAAAGTTATTTGAAAACTGCACTCTGAATTCATATCAACCTAAGGGGAGCCAGCCATGGTGGTGCATAACTGATCCCT